CTGTAGGGTCACATGGGGACTCTGTAGGGACACATGGGGACGCCTAAGGGACACATGGGGACGCCGTAGGGACACATGGGGACGCCATAAGGACACATGGGAACTCCATAGGAAAACATGGGATTGCCATAGGGACTCATGGGGATCACAGAATCACAGAATCACAGAATTGTAGAGGTTGGTAGGGACCTCCACAGCTCATCGAGTCCAACCCCCTGCCAAAGCAGGTTCCCTACATCAGGTCGCACAGGTCGGCATCCAGGCAGGTTTTGAACATCTCCAGAGAAGGAGACTCCACCACCTCCCTGGTGCCATAGGGCCACATAGGAACTCCATAGGGACACATGGGGATCCCATAGGGACACATGGGGACGCCGCAGGGACACATGGGGACGCCATAGGGACACATGGGGACTCCATAGGGACACATGGGGATGTCATACGACACATGGGGACTCCATAGGGACACATGGGGATCCCATAGGGACACATGGGGACTCCATAGGGACACATGGGGATGCCGCAGGGACACATGGTGACTCCATTGGGAGACATGAGGTCTCCATAGGGACCCAAGAGGATGCCATAGGGACACATGGAGATGCCATAGGATCGCATGGGGACACCGTAGGGACACATGGGGACTCTGTAGGGACACATGGGGACGCCATAGGGACACATGGGGATGCCATAGGGACACATGGGGAATCCATACGGACACAAGGGGATGCCATAGGGACAAATGGGAACTCCATAGGGACACATGGGGATACCATAGGGACACATGGGGAATCTGTAGGGACACATGGGGACGCCGTACGGACACATGGGGAGGCCATAGGGACACATGGGGATGCCATAGGGACACATGAGGACTCCATAGAGACACATGGTGACTCCTTAGGGACACATCAGGACGCCATAGGGACACATGGGGACTCTGTAGGGACACATGGGAATGCCATAGGGACACATGGGGATGCCATAGGGACACATGGGGATGCCATAAGGACACATGGGGACTCCATAAAGACACATGGGAATGCCATCGGGATGCATGGGGACTCTGTAGGGTCACATGGGGACTCTGTAGGGACACATGAGGATGCCCTAGGGACACATGGGGACTCCTTAGGGACACATGGGGACTCTGCAGGGACACATGGGGACGCCTAAGGGACACATGGGGACGCCGTAGGGACACATGGGGACGCCATAAGGACACATGGGGACTCCATAGGAAAACATGGGATTGCCATAGGGACTCATGGGGATCACAGAATCACAGAATCACAGAATTGTAGAGGTTGGTAGGGACCTCCAGAGCTCATCGAGTCCAACCCCCTGCCAAAGCAGGTTCCCTACAGCAGGTCGCACAGGTCGGCATCCAGGCAGGTTTTGAACATCTCCAGAGGAGACTCCACCACCTCCCTGGTGCCATAGGGCCACATAGGGACTCCATAGGGACACATGGGGATCCCATAGGGACACATGGGGATGCCAGAGGGACACATGGGGACTCCATAGGGACACATGGGGATCCCATAGGGACACATGGGGACTCCATAGGGACACAAGGGGACTCTGTAGGGACACATGGGTATGCCATAGGGACACATGGGGATGTTATAGGGACGCATGGGGACTAGATGGGGACACATGGGAATGCCATAGGGACACATGGGGATGTTATAGGGACGCATGGGGACTCCATAGGCACACGTGGGGACTACATAGGGACACATGGGGATGCCATACGACACATGGGGACTCCATAGGGACACATGAGGACGCCGTAGGGACACATGGGGATGCCATAAGGACAAATGGGGACTCCATAGGGAAACATGGGATTCCCATAGGGACACAAGGGGACTCCATAGGGACACATGGGGATCCCATAGGGACACATGGGGATGCCAGAGGGACACATGGGGACTCCATAGGGACACATGGGGATCCCATAGGGACACATGGGGATGCCAGAGGGACACATGGGGACTCCATAGGGACACATGGGGATGCCATAGGGACACATGGGGATGTTATAGGGACGCATGGGGACTAGATGGGGACACATGGGAATGCCATAGGGACACATGGGGATGTTATAGGGACGCATGGGGACTCCATAGGCACACGTGGGGACTACATAGGGACACATGGGGATGCCATACGACACATGGGGACTCCATAGGGACACATGGGGAAGCCATAGGGACACATGGGAACTCCATAGGGACACATGGGGAAGCCATAGGGACACATAGGGACTCCATACGTACGCATGGGGACTCTGTAGGGACACAGAGGGATGCCATAAGGATACATGGGGACTCCATAGGGACACATGGGACTCCATAGTGACACATGAGGATGCCATAGGGACACATGGGGATGCCATAGGGCGCCATGGGGACTCCATAAGGACGCATGGGTATTCCATGGGGACACATTGGGACTCTGTAGGAACACATGGGGATGCCATAGGGACACATTGGGACTCCGTAGGGACACATGGGGATGCCGTATGGATACATGAGGATCCCATAGGGACACATAGGGACTCTGTAGGGACACATGGGGACTCCATAGGGACAGATGGGGACGCCGTACGGACACATGGGGAGGCCATAGGGACACATAGGGACTCCATAGGGACACAAGGGGATGCCATAGGGACACATGAGGACTCCATAGAGACACATGGTGACTACTTAGGGACACATGGGGACGCCATAGGGACACATGGGGACTCCATAGGGACACATGGGGATGCCGTATGGATACATGAGGATCTCATAGGGACACATGGGGACTCTGTATGGACACATGGGAATGCTGTAGGGACACAAGGGGACTCCATAGGGACAGATGGGGACGCCGTACGGACACATGGGGAGGCCATAGGGACACATAGGGACTCCATAGGGACACAAAGGGATGCCATAGGGACACATGAGGACTCCATAGAGACACATGGTGACTCCTTAGGGACACATGGGGACGCCATAGGGACACATGGGGACTCCATAGGGACACATGGGGATGCCATAGGGACACATGGGGGATGCCATAGGAACACATGGGGATGCCATAAGGACACATGGGGATGCCATAGGGACACATGGGGACGCCATAAGGACACATGGGGACTCCATAGGGAAACATGGGATTGCCATAGTGACACATGGGGACTCCATAGGGACACAAGGGGACGCTGTAAGGACACATGGGGACGCCATAGGGACACATGGGGACTCCATAGAAACACATGGGAATGCCATAGGGACACATGGGGACTCCATAGAAACACATGGGGATGCCAGAGGGACACATGGGGACTCCATAGGGACACATGGGGATCCCATAGGGACACATGGGGACTCCATAGGGACACATGGGGACTCTGTAGGGACACATGGGGATGCCATAGGAACACATGGGGATGCCGTAGGAACACATGAGGCCGCCATAAGGACACATGGGGACTCCATAGGGAAACATGGGATTGCCATAAGGACACATGGGGACTCCATAGGGAAACATGGGGACTCCCTAGGAACACATGGGGACGCCTCAGGGACACATGGGGACTCCATAGGGACACATGGGGATGCCGTATGGATACATGAGGATCCCATAGGGACACATGAGGACTCCGTAGAGACACATGGTGACTCCATTGGGAGACATGGGGATGACATAGGGACACATGGGGACTCCATAGGGACACATGAGGATGCCATAGGGACACATGGGGACGCCATAGGGACACATGAGGATGCCATAGGGACACATGGGGACGCCATAGGGACACATGGGGACTCTGTAGGGACACATGGGAATGCCATAGGGACACATGGGGACTCCATAGGGACACAAGGGGATGCCATAGGGACACATGAGGACTCCATAGAGACACATGGGGACTCCATAGAGACACATGGGGACTCCATAGGGACACATGGGGATGCCATAGGGACACATGGGGATGCCATAGGGACACATGAGGACTCCATAGAGACACATGGGGACTCCATAGGAACACATAGGGATGCCATAGGATCGCATGGGGACTCCATAGGGACACATGGGGACTCTGTCGGGACACATGGGGATGCCATAGGGACACATGGGGATGCCACAGGGACACATGGGACTCCATAGTGACACATGAGGATGCCATAGGGACACATGGGGATGCCATAGGGACACATGGGGACTCCATAAGGACGCATGGGTATTCCATGGGGACACATTGGGACTCTGTAGGAACACATGGGGATGCCATAGGGACACAGTGGGACTCCGTAGGGACACATGGGGATGCCGTATGGATACATGAGGATCCCATAGGGACACATGGGGACTCCGTAGGGACACATGGTGACTCCATTGGGAGACATGGAGACTCTGTAGGGACACATGGGAATGCTGTAGGGACACATGGGGATGCTGTAGGGACACAAGGGGACTCCATAGGGACAGATGGGGACGCCGTACGGACACATGGGGAGGCCATAGGGACACATAGGGACTCCATAGGGACACAAGGGGATGCCATAGGGACACATGAGGACTCCATAGAGACACATGGTGACTCCTTAGGGACACATGGGGATGCCATAGGGACACATGGGGACTCCGTAGTGACACATGGGGACGCCATAGTGACACATGGGGACTCCATAGGGACACATGGGGACTCTGTAGGGACACATGGGGATGCCATAGGAACACATGGGATTGCCATAGGGACACATGGGGATGCTGTAGGAACACATGAGGCCGCCATAAGGACACATGGGGACTCCATAGGGAAACATGGGATTGCCATAGGGACACATGGGGACTCCATAGGGAAACATGGGGACTCCCTAGGAACACATGGGGACGCCTCAGGGACACATGGGGACTCCATAGGGACACATGGGGATGCCGTATGGATACATAGGGACACATGAGGACTCCGTAGAGACACATGGTGACTCCATTGGGAGACATGGGGATGACATAGGGACACATGGGGACTCCATAGGGACACATGAGGATGCCATAGGGACACATGGGGACGCCATAGGGACACATGAGGATGCCATAGGGACACATGGGGACGCCATAGGGACACATGGGGACTCTGTAGGGACACATGGGAATGCCATAGGGACACATGGGGATGCCATAGGGACACATGGGGACTCCATAGGGACAGATGGGGACGCCGTACGGACACATGGGGAGGCCATAGGGACACATAGGGACTCCATAGGGACACAAGGGGATGCCATAGGGACACATGGGGATGCCATAGGGACACATGAGGACTCCATAGAGACACATGGGGACTCCATAGAGACACATGGGGACTCCATAGGAACACATAGGGATGCCATAGGATCGCATGGGGACTCTGTCGGGACACATGGGGATGCCATAGGGACTCATGGGGATGCCATAGGGACACATGGGGACACCGTAGGGACACATGTGGACTCTGTAGGGACATATGGGGACGCCATAGGGACACATGGGGATGCCATAGGGACACATGGGGAATCCATACGGACACAAGGGGATGCCATAGGGACAAATGGGAACTCCATAGGGACACATGGGGATGCCATAGGGACACATGGGGAATCTGTAGGGACACATGGGGACGCCGTACGGACACATGGGGAGACCATAGGGACACATGGGGATGCCATAGGGACACATGAGGACTCCATAGAGACACATGGTGACTCCTTAGGGACACATCAGGACGCCATAGGGACACATGGGGGATGCCATAGGGACACATGGGGACTCTGTAGGGACACATGGGAATGCCATAGGGACACATGGGGATGCCATAGGGACACATGGGGATGCCATAAGGACACATGGGGACTCCATAAAGACACATGGGAATGCCATCGGGATGCATGGGGTCTCTGTAGGGTCACATGGGGACTCTGTAGGGACACATGAGGATGCCCTAGGGACACATGGGGACTCCTTAGGGACACATGGGGACTCTGCAGGGACACATGGGGACGCCTAAGGGACACATGGGGACGCCGTAGGGACACGTGGGGACGCCATAAGGACACATGGGGACTCCATAGGAAAACATGGGATTGCCATAGGGACTCATGGGGATTACAGAATCACAGAATCACAGAATTGTAGAGGTTGGTAGGGACCTCCAGAGCTCGTCGAGTCCAACCCCCTGCCAAAGCAGGTTCCCTACAGCAGGTCGCACAGGTCGGCATCCAGGCAGGTTTTGAACATCTCCAGAGGAGACTCCACCACCTCCCTGGTGCCATAGGGCCACATAGGGACTCCATAGGGACACATGGGGATCCCATAGGGACACATGGGGATGCCAGAGGGACACATGGGGACTCCATAGGGACACATGGGGATCCCATAGGGACACATGGGGACTCCATAGGGACACATGGGGACTCTGTAGGGACACATGGGGATGCCATAGGAACACATGGGGATGCCGTAGGAACACATGAGGCCGCCATAAGGACACATGGGGACTCCATAGGGAAACATGGGATTGCCATAAGGACACATGGGGACTCCATAGGGAAACATGGGGACTCCCTAGGAACACATGGGGACGCCTCAGGGACACATGGGGACTCCATAGGGACACATGGGGATGCCGTATGGATACATGAGGATCCCATAGGGACACATGAGGACTCCGTAGAGACACATGGTGACTCCATTGGGAGACATGGGGATGACATAGGGACACATGGGGACTCCATAGGGACACATGAGGACGCCATAGGGACACATGGGGACGCCATAGGGACACATGAGGATGCCATAGGGACACATGGGGATGCCATAGGGACACATGGGGATGCCATAAGGACACATGGGGACTCCATAAAGACACATGGGAATGCCATCGGGATGCATGGGGACTCTGTAGGGTCACATGGGGACTCTGTAGGGACACATGAGGATGCCCTAGGGACACATGGGGACTCCTTAGGGACACATGGGGACTCTGCAGGGACACATGGGGACGCCTAAGGGACACATGGGGACGCCGTAGGGACACATGGGGACGCCATAAGGACACATGGGGACTCCATAGGAAAACATGGGATTGCCATAGGGACTCATGGGGATCACAGAATCACAGAATCACAGAATTGTAGAGGTTGGTAGGGACCTCCAGAGCTCATCGAGTCCAACCCCCTGCCAAAGCAGGTTCCCTACAGCAGGTCGCACAGGTCGGCATCCAGGCAGGTTTTGAACATCTCCAGAGGAGACTCCACCACCTCCCTGGTGCCATAGGGCCACATAGGGACTCCATAGGGACACATGGGGATCCCATAGGGACACATGGGGATGCCAGAGGGACACATGGGGACTCCATAGGGACACATGGGGATCCCATAGGGACACATGGGGACTCCATAGGGACACAAGGGGACTCTGTAGGGACACATGGGTATGCCATAGGGACACATGGGGATGTTATAGGGACGCATGGGGACTAGATGGGGACACATGGGAATGCCATAGGGACACATGGGGATGTTATAGGGACGCATGGGGACTCCATAGGCACACGTGGGGACTACATAGGGACACATGGGGATGCCATACGACACATGGGGACTCCATAGGGACACATGAGGACGCCGTAGGGACACATGGGGATGCCATAAGGACAAATGGGGACTCCATAGGGAAACATGGGATTCCCATAGGGACACAAGGGGACTCCATAGGGACACATGGGGATCCCATAGGGACACATGGGGATGCCAGAGGGACACATGGGGACTCCATAGGGACACATGGGGATCCCATAGGGACACATGGGGATGCCAGAGGGACACATGGGGACTCCATAGGGACACATGGGGATGCCATAGGGACACATGGGGATGTTATAGGGACGCATGGGGACTAGATGGGGACACATGGGAATGCCATAGGGACACATGGGGATGTTATAGGGACGCATGGGGACTCCATAGGCACACGTGGGGACTACATAGGGACACATGGGGATGCCATACGACACATGGGGACTCCATAGGGACACATGGGGAAGCCATAGGGACACATGGGAACTCCATAGGGACACATGGGGAAGCCATAGGGACACATAGGGACTCCATACGTACGCATGGGGACTCTGTAGGGACACAGAGGGATGCCATAAGGATACATGGGGACTCCATAGGGACACATGGGACTCCATAGTGACACATGAGGATGCCATAGGGACACATGGGGATGCCATAGGGCGCCATGGGGACTCCATAAGGACGCATGGGTATTCCATGGGGACACATTGGGACTCTGTAGGAACACATGGGGATGCCATAGGGACACATTGGGACTCCGTAGGGACACATGGGGATGCCGTATGGATACATGAGGATCCCATAGGGACACATAGGGACTCTGTAGGGACACATGGGGACTCCATAGGGACAGATGGGGACGCCGTACGGACACATGGGGAGGCCATAGGGACACATAGGGACTCCATAGGGACACAAGGGGATGCCATAGGGACACATGAGGACTCCATAGAGACACATGGTGACTACTTAGGGACACATGGGGACGCCATAGGGACACATGGGGACTCCATAGGGACACATGGGGATGCCGTATGGATACATGAGGATCTCATAGGGACACATGGGGACTCTGTATGGACACATGGGAATGCTGTAGGGACACAAGGGGACTCCATAGGGACAGATGGGGACGCCGTACGGACACATGGGGAGGCCATAGGGACACATAGGGACTCCATAGGGACACAAAGGGATGCCATAGGGACACATGAGGACTCCATAGAGACACATGGTGACTCCTTAGGGACACATGGGGACGCCATAGGGACACATGGGGACTCCATAGGGACACATGGGGATGCCATAGGGACACATGGGGGATGCCATAGGAACACATGGGGATGCCATAAGGACACATGGGGATGCCATAGGGACACATGGGGACGCCATAAGGACACATGGGGACTCCATAGGGAAACATGGGATTGCCATAGTGACACATGGGGACTCCATAGGGACACAAGGGGACGCTGTAAGGACACATGGGGACGCCATAGGGACACATGGGGACTCCATAGAAACACATGGGAATGCCATAGGGACACATGGGGACTCCATAGAAACACATGGGGATGCCAGAGGGACACATGGGGACTCCATAGGGACACATGGGGATCCCATAGGGACACATGGGGACTCCATAGGGACACAAGGGGACTCTGTAGGGACACATGGGTATGCCATAGGGACACATGGGGATGTTATAGGGACGCATGGGGACTAGATGGGGACACATGGGAATGCCATAGGGACACATGGGGATGTTATAGGGACGCATGGGGACTCCATAGGCACACGTGGGGACTACATAGGGACACATGGGGATGCCATACGACACATGGGGACTCCATAGGGACACATGAGGACGCCGTAGGGACACATGGGGATGCCATAAGGACAAATGGGGACTCCATAGGGAAACATGGGATTCCCATAGGGACACAAGGGGACTCCATAGGGACACATGGGGACTCCATAGGGACACATGGGGACGCCGCAGGGACACATGGGGACGCCATAGGGACACATGGGGACTCCATAGGGACACATGGGGAAGCCATAGGGACACATGGGAACTCCATAGGGACACATGGGGAAGCCATAGGGACACATGAGGATGCCATAGGGACACATAGGGACTCCATACGTACGCATGGGGACTCTGTAGGGACACAGAGGGATGCCATAAGGATACATGGGGACTCCATAGGGACACATTGGGACTCCGTAGGGACACATGGGGATGCCATAGGGACACATGGGGATGCCATAGGGACACATGAGGACTCCATAGAGACACATGGGGACTCCATAGAGACACATGGGGACTCCATAGGAACACATAGGGATGCCATAGGATCGCATGGGGACTCTGTCGGGACACATGGGGATGCCATAGGGACACATGGGGATGCCACAGGGACACATGGGACTCCATAGTGACACATGAGGATGCCATAGGGACACATGGGGATGCCATAGGGACACATGGGGACTCCATAAGGACGCATGGGTATTCCATGGGGACGCATTGGGACTCTGTAGGAACACATGGGGATGCCATAGGGACACAGTGGGACTCCGTAGGGACACATGGTGACTCCATTGGGAGACATGGAGACTCTGTAGGGACACATGGGAATGCTGTAGGGACACATGGGGATGCTGTAGGGACACAAGGGGACTCCATAGGGACAGATGGGGACGCCGTACGGACACATGGGGAGGCCATAGGGACACATAGGGACTCCATAGGGACACAAGGGGATGCCATAGGGACACATGAGGACTCCATAGAGACACATGGTGACTCCTTAGGGACACATGGGGATGCCATAGGGACACATGGGGGATGCCATAGGAACACATGTGGATGCCATAGGGACACATGGGGACTCCGTAGTGACACATGGGGACGCCATAGGGACACATGGGGACTCCATAGAAACACATGGGAATGCCATAGGGACACATGGGGATGCCACAGGGAAACATGGGATTGCCATAGTGACACATGGGGACTCCATAGGGACACATGGGGACTCTGTAGGAACACATGGGGATGCCATAGGAACACATGGGATTGCCATAGGGACACATGGGGAAGCCATAGGGACACATGGGAACTCCATAGGGACACATGGGGAAGCCGCAGGGACACATGGGGACGCCATAGGGACACATGGGGACTCCATAGGGACACATGGGGAAGCCATAGGGACACATGGGAACTCCATAGGGACACATGGGGAAGCCATAGGGACACATGAGGATGCCATAGGGACACATAGGGACTCCATACGTACGCATGGGGACTCTGTAGGGACACAGAGGGATGCCATAAGGATACATGGGGACTCCATAGGGACACATTGGGACTCCGTAGGGACACATGGGGATGCCATAGGGACACATGGGGATGCCATAGGGACACATGAGGACTCCATAGAGACACATGGGGACTCCATAGAGACACATGGGGACTCCATAGGAACACATAGGGATGCCATAGGATCGCATGGGGACTCTGTCGGGACACATGGGGATGCCATAGGGACACATGGGGATGCCACAGGGACACATGGGACTCCATAGTGACACATGAGGATGCCATAGGGACACATGGGGATGCCATAGGGACACATGGGGACTCCATAAGGACGCATGGGTATTCCATGGGGACGCATTGGGACTCTGTAGGAACACATGGGGATGCCATAGGGACACAGTGGGACTCCGTAGGGACACATGGTGACTCCATTGGGAGACATGGAGACTCTGTAGGGACACATGGGAATGCTGTAGGGACACATGGGGATGCTGTAGGGACACAAGGGGACTCCATAGGGACAGATGGGGACGCCGTACGGACACATGGGGAGGCCATAGGGACACATAGGGACTCCATAGGGACACAAGGGGATGCCATAGGGACACATGAGGACTCCATAGAGACACATGGTGACTCCTTAGGGACACATGGGGATGCCATAGGGACACATGGGGGATGCCATAGGAACACATGTGGATGCCATAGGGACACATGGGGACTCCGTAGTGACACATGGGGACGCCATAGGGACACATGGGGACTCCATAGAAACACATGGGAATGCCATAGGGACACATGGGGATGCCACAGGGAAACATGGGATTGCCATAGTGACACATGGGGACTCCATAGGGACACATGGGGACTCTGTAGGAACACATGGGGATGCCATAGGAACACATGGGATTGCCATAGGGACACATGGGGATGCTGTAGGAACACATGAGGCCGCCATAAGGACACATGGGGACTCCATAGGGAAACATGGGATTGCCATAGGGACACATGGGGACTCCATAGGGAAACATGGGAATGCCATAGGGACACATGGGGATGTTATAGGGACGCATGGGGACTCCATAGGCACACGTGGGGACTACATAGGGACACATGGGGATGCCATACGACACATGGGGACTCCATAGGGACACATGAGGACGCCGTAGGGACACATGGGGATGCCATAAGGACAAATGGGGACTCCATAGGGAAACATGGGATTCCCATAGGGACACAAGGGGACTCCATAGGGACACATGGGGACTCCATAGGGACACATGGGGACGCCGCAGGGACACATGGGGACGCCATAGGGACACATGGGGACTCCATAGGGACACATGGGGAAGCCATAGGGACACATGGGAACTCCATAGGGACACATGGGGAAGCCATAGGGACACATGAGGATGCCATAGGGACACATAGGGACTCCATACGTACGCATGGGGACTCTGTAGGGACACAGAGGGATGCCATAAGGATACATGGGGACTCCATAGGGACACACTGGGACTCCGTAGGGACACATGGGGATGCCATAGGGACACATGGGGATGCCATAGGGACACATGAGGACTCCATAGAGACACATGGGGACTCCATAGAGACACATGGGGACTCCATAGGAACACATAGGGATGCCATAGGATCGCATGGGGACTCTGTCGGGACACATGGGGATGCCATAGGGACACATGGGGATGCCACAGGGACACATGGGACTCCATAGTGACACATGAGGATGCCATAGGGACACATGGGGATGCCATAGGGACACATGGGGACTCCATAAGGACGCATGGGTATTCCATGGGGACGCATTGGGACTCTGTAGGAACACATGGGGATGCCATAGGGACACAGTGGGACTCCGTAGGGACACATGGTGACTCCATTGGGAGACATGGAGACTCTGTAGGGACACATGGGAATGCTGTAGGGACACATGGGGATGCTGTAGGGACACAAGGGGACTCCATAGGGACAGATGGGGACGCCGTACGGACACATGGGGAGGCCATAGGGACACATAGGGACTCCATAGGGACACAAGGGGATGCCATAGGGACACATGAGGACTCCATAGAGACACATGGTGACTCCTTAGGGACACATGGGGATGCCATAGGGACACATGGGGGATGCCATAGGAACACATGTGGATGCCATAGGGACACATGGGGACTCCGTAGTGACACATGGGGACGCCATAGGGACACATGGGGACTCCATAGAAACACATGGGAATGCCATAGGGACACATGGGGATGGCACAGGGAAACATGGGATTGCCATAGTGACACATGGGGACTCCATAGGGACACATGGGGACTCTGTAGGGACACATGGGGATGCCATAGGAACACATGGGATTGCCATAGGGACACATGGGGATGCTGTAGGAACACATGAGGCCGCCATAAGGACACATGGGGACTCCATAGGGAAACATGGGATTGCCATAGGGACACATGGGGACTCCATAGGGAAACATGGGGACTCCCTAGGAACACATGGGGACGCCTCAGGGACACATGGGGACTCCATAGGGACACATGGGGATGCCGTATGGATACATGAGGATCCCATAGGGACACATGAGGACTCCGTAGAGACACATGGTGACTCCATTGGGAGACATGGGGATGCCATAGGGACACATGGGGACGCCATAGGGACACATGAGGATGCCATAGGGACACATGGGGACGCCATAGGGACACATGGGGACTCTGTAGGGACACATGGGAATGCCATAGGGACACATGGGGATGCCACAGGGACACATGAGGACTCCATAGAGACACATGGGGACTCCATAGGGACACATGGGGATGACATAGGGACACATGGGAATGCCATAGGGACACATGGGGATGCCATAGGGACACATGAGGACTCCATAGAGACACATGGGGACTCCATAGGGACACATGGGGGATGCCATAGGAACACATGGGGAAGCGATAGGGACACATGAGGATGCCATTGGGACAAATAGGGACTCCATAGGGACGCATGGGGACACTGTAGGGACACATGGGGATGCCATAGGGTACATGGGGACTCCACAGGGACAAATGGGGACTCCGTAAGGACGCATGGGTATTCCATGGGGACGCATTGGGACTCTGTAGGAACACATGGGGATGCCATAGGGACACAGTGGGACTCCGTAGGGACACATGGGGATGCCGTATGGATACATGAGGATCCCATAGGGACACATGGGGACTCCGTAGGGACACATGGTGACTCCATTGGGAGACATGGGGACTCTGTAGGGACACATGAGAATGCTGTAGGGACACAAGGGGACTCCATAGGGACAGATGGGGACGCCGTACGGTCACATGGGGAGGCCATAGGGACACATAGGGACTCCATAGGGACACAAGGGGATGCCATAGTGTCACATGAGGATGCCATAGGGACACATGGGGACGCCATAGGGACACATGAGGATGTCATAGGGACAGATGAGGACGCCATAGGGACACATGGGGACTCTGTAGGGACACATGGGGATGCCATAAGGACACATGGGGACTCCATAGCAACACATGGGAATGCCATCGGGATGCATGGGGACTATGTAGGGTCACATGGGGACTCTGTAGGAACACATGGGGATGCCACCGGGACACATGGGGACTCCATAGGGACACATGGGGACTCCCTAGGGACACATGGGGAATCCATACGGACACAAGGGGATGCCATAGGGACACATGGGGATCCCATAAGGACACATGGGGACTCCATAGGGACACATGGGGACTCCACAGGGACACATGGAGACTCCATAGGGAAACATGGGATGGCCATAGGGACACATGAGGATGCCCTAGGGACACATGGGGACTCCTTAGGGACACATGGGGACTCTGTAGGGACACATGGGTACGCTTCAGGGACACATGGGGACGCCGTAGGGACACATGGGGACGCCATAAGGACACATGGGGACTCCATAGGAAAACATGGGATTGCCATAGGGACTCATGGGGATCACAGAATCACAGAATCACAGAATTGTAGAGGTTGGTAGGGACCTCCAGAGCTCATCGAGTCCAACCCCCTGCCAAAGCAGGTTCCCTACAGCAGTTCGCACAGGTCGGCATCCAGGCAGGTTTTGAACATCTCCAGAGAAGGAGACTCCACCACCTCCCTGGTGCCATAGGGCCACATAGGAACTCCATAGGGACACATGGGGATCCCATAGGGACACTTGGGGATGCCAGAGGGACACATGGGGACTCCATAGGGACACATGGGGACTCCATAGGGACACATGGGGATGACATAGGGACACATGGGGGATGCCATAGGAACACATGGGGATGCCATAAGGACACATGGGGATGCCATAGGGACACATGGGGACGCCATAAGGACACATGGGGACTCCATAGGGAAACATGGGATTGCCATAGGGACACATGGGGACTCCATAGAAACACATGGGAATGCCTTAGGGACACATGGGGACGCCATAGGGACACATGGGGATTCCATAGGGACACATGGGGACTCCATAGGGACACATGAGGATGCCACAGGGACACATGGGGATGCCATAGGATCGCATGGGGACTCCATCGGGACACATGGGGATGCCGTATGGATACATGAGGATCCCAGAGGGACACATAAGGACTCCGTAGAGACACATGGTGACTCCACTGGGAGACATGGGGATGACATAGGGACACATGGGGACTCCATAGGGACACATAGGGACTTCACAGGGACACATGGGGACTCCACAGGGACACATGGGGACTCCATAGGGACTCATGAGGATGCCATAGGGACACATGGGGACGCCATAGGGACACATGGGGACTCTGTAGGGACACATGAGGACGCCATAGGGACACATGAGGACTCCATAGAGACACATGGTGACTCCTTAGGGACACATGAGGACGCCTTAGGGACACATGGGGACTCCATAGGGACACATGAGGATGCCATAGGGACACATAGGGACGCCATAGGGACACATGAGGATGTCATAGGGACACATGAGGACGCCATAGGGACACATGGGGACTCTGTAGGGACACATGGGAATGCCATAGGGACACATGGGGATGCCATAGGGACACATGGGGATGCCATAAGGACACATGGGGACTCCATGGGGACACATGGGGAAGCCATAGGGACACATGGGGACTCTGTAGGGACACATGGGGATTCCACCGGGACACATGGGGACTCCCTAGGGACACATGGGGAATCCATACGGACACAAGGGGATGCCATAGGGACACATGGGGATGCCATAGGGACACATGGGGACTCCACAGGGACACATGGGGACTCCATAGGGAAACATGGGATGGCCATAGGGACACATGAGGATGCCCTAGGGACACATGGGGACGCCGTAGGGACACATGGGGACGCCATAAGGACACATGGGGACTCCATAGGAAAACATGGGATTGCCATAGGGACTCATGGGGATCACAGAATCACAGAATTGTAGAGGTTGGTAGGGACCTCCGGAGCTCATCGAGTCCAACCCCCTGCCAAAGCAGGTTCCCTACAGCAGGTCGCACAGGTCGGCATCCAGGCAGGTTTTGAACATCTCCAGAGAAGGAGACTCCACCACCTCCCTGGTGCCATAGGGCCACATAGGGACTCCATAGGGACACATGGGGATCCCATAGGGACACATGGGGATGCCAGAGGGACACATGGGGACTCCATAGGGACACATGGGGATCCCATAGGGACACATGGGGATGCCAGAGGGAAACATGGGGACTCCATAGGGACACATGGGGATCCCATAGGGACACATGGGGACTCCATAGGGACACATGGGTATGCCGCAGGGACACATGGTGACTCCATTGGGAGACATGAGTTCTCCATAGGGACCCAAGAGGATGCCATAGGGACACATGGGGACTCCATAGGAACACATGGGGATGCCATAGGATCGCATGGGTACATCGTAGGGACACATGGGGACTCTGTAGGGACACATGGGGACGCCATAGGGACACATGGGGATTCCATAGGGACACATGGGGAATCCATACGGACACAAGGGGATGCCATAGGGACAAATGGGAACTCCATAGGGACACATGGGAAAGCCATAGGGACACATGAGGATGCCATTGGGACAAATAGGGACTCCATAGGGACGCATGGGGACTCTGTAGGGACACATGGGGATGCCATAGGGTACATGGGGACTCCACAGGGACAAATGGGACTCCATAGTGACACATGAGGATGCCATAGGGACACATGGGGATGCCATAGGGACACATGGGGACTCCATAAGGACGCATGAGTATTCCATGGGGACGCATTGGGACTCTGTAGGAACACATGGGGATGCCATAGGGACACAGTGGGACTCCGTAGGGACACATGGGGATGCCGTATGGATACATGAGGATCCCATAGGGACACATGGGGACTCCGTAGGGACACATGGTGACTCCATTGGGAAACATGGGGACTCTGTAGGGACAAATGGGAATGCTGTAGGGACCCATGGGGATGCTGTAGGGACACAAGGGGACTCCATAGGGACAGATGGGGACGCCGTACGTACACATGGGGAGGCCATAGGGACACATAGGGACTCCATAGGGACACAAGGGGATGCCATAGGGACACATGGGGATGCCATAGGGACACATGGGGACTCCGTAGGGACACATGGGGATGCCATAAGGACACATGGGGATGCCATAGGGACACATGGGGACGCCATAGGGACACATGGGGACTCCGTAGGGACACATGGGGATGCCATAAGGACACATGGGGACTCCATAGGGAAACATGGGATTGCCATAGTGACACATGGGGACTCCATAGGGACACAAGGGGACGCCGTAAGGACACATGGGGACGCCATAGGGACACATGGGGACGCCATAGAAACACATGGGGACGCCATAGGGACACATGGGGACTCCATAGGGACACAAGGGGACTCTGCAGGGACACATGGAGACGCCATAGGGACACATGAGGATGCCCTAGGGACACATGGGGACTCCGTAGGGACAAATGCGGACTCTGTAGGGACACATGGGGATGCCATAGGGACACATGAGGCCGCCATAAGGACACATGGGGACTCAATAGGGAAACATGGAATTGCCATTGGGACACATGGGGACTCCATAGGGAAACATGGGGACTCCCTAGGAACACATGGGGACGCCTCAGGGACACATGGGGACGCCCTAGGGACCCATGGGGATGCCATAGGGACACATAGGCACTCCATTGGGACACATGGGGATGCCATAGGGACCCATGGGGTATCAATAGGGACACATGGGGATGCCATAGGGCCACATGGGGACTCCATAGGGACACATGGGGATGCCATAGGGACACATGGGGACTCCATAGGGACACATGGGGATGCCGTATGGATACATGAGGATCCCATAGGGACACATGAGGACTCCGTAGAGACACATGGTGACTCCATTGGGAGACATGGGGATGACATAGGGACACATGGGGACTCCATAGGGACACATGGGGACGCCATAAGGACACATGGGGACTCCATAGGGACACATGGGATTGCCATAGGGACACATGGGGACTCCATAGAAACACATGGGAATGCCATAGGGACACATGGGGATGCCATAGGGACACATGGGGATTCCATAGGGACACATGAAGACGCCATAGGGACACATGGGGACTCTGTAGGGACACATGGGAATGCCATAGGGACACATGGGGATGCCATAGGGACACATGGGGACTCTGTAGGGACACATGGGGACGCCGTACGGACACATGGGGAGGCCATAGGGACACATGGGGAGGCCATAGGGACACATAGGGACTCCATAGGGACATAAGGGGATGCCATAGGGACACATGGGGATGCCATAGGGACACATGAGGACTCCATAGAGACACATGGGTACTCCATAGGGACACATGAGGATGCCATAGGGACACATGGGGACTCCGTAGTGACACATGGGGATGCCATAGGGACACATGAGGACGCCATAGGGACACATGGGGACTCCATAGGGAAACATGGGATTGCCATAGGGAAACATGGGGACTCCCTAGGAACACATGGGGACGCCTCAGGGACACATGGGGACGCCCTAGGGACCCATGGGGATGCCATAGGGACACATAGGCACTCCACTGGGACACATGAGGATGCATAGGGACACATAGGGACTCCATAGGGACACATGGGGCTCCCATAGGGACACATGGGGACTCCATAGGGACACATGGGAACTCCATAGGGACACATTGGAATGCCATAGGGACACATGGGGATGCCATAGGGACACATGGGGACTCCGTAGGGACACATGGGGATGCCATAGGGACACATGAGGATGCCATAGGGACACATGGGGATGCCATAGGGACACATGAGGATGCCATAGGGACACATGGGGAAGCCATAGGGACACATGGGAATGCCATAGGGACACATGGGGACTCCATAGGGACACATTGGGATGCCATAGAGACATATGGGGATGCCATAGGGACACATGGGGACTCCATAGGGACACATGGGAATGCCATAGGGACACATGAGGATGCCATTGGGACAAATAGGGACTCCATAGGGACACATGGGAATGCCCTAGGGACACATGGGGACTCCATAGGGACACATGGGGATGCCATAGGGACATATGGGGATGCCATAGGGACACATGGGGACTCTGTAGGGACACATGGGGATGCCTGGGGACACATGAGGACTCCCTAGGGATACATGGTGACTCCATTGGGAGACATGGGGATGCCATAGGGACACATGGGGACTCCATAGGGACACATGGGGACGCCATAGGGACACATGGGGACTCCATAGGGACACATGGGGATGCCATAGGGACACATGGGGGATGCCATAGGAACACATGGTGATGCCATAAGGACACATGGGGATGCCATAGGGACACATGGGGACGCCATAAGGACACATGGGGACTCCATAGGGAAACATGGGATTGCCATAGTGACACATGGGGACTCCATAGGGACACAAGGGGACGCTGTAAGGACACATGGGGACGCCATAGGGACACATGGGGACTCCATAGAAACACATGGGAATGCCATAGGGACACATGGGGATGCCACAGGGACACATGGGGACGCCATAGGGACACATGGGGACTCCATAGGGACACATGGGGACTCTGTAGGGACACATGGGGATGCCATAGGAACACATGGGGATGCCGTAGGAACACATGAGGCCGCCATAAGGACACATGGGGACTCCATAGGGAAACATGGGATTGCCATAAGGACACATGGGGACTCCATAGGGAAACATGGGGACTCCCTAGGAACACATGGGGACGCCTCAGGGACACATGGGGACTCCATAGGGACACATGGGGATGCCGTATGGATACATGAGGATCCCATAGGGACACATGAGGACTCCGTAGAGACACATGGTGACTCCATTGGGAGACATGGGGATGACATAGGGACACATGGGGACTCCATAGGGACACATGAGGATGCCATAGGGACACATGGGGACGCCATAGGGACACATGAGGATGCCATAGGGACACATGGGGACGCCATAGGGACACATGGGGACTCTGTAGGGACACATGGGAATGCCATAGGGACACATGGGGACTCCATAGGGACACAAGGGGATGCCATAGGGACACATGAGGACTCCATAGAGACACATGGGGACTCCATAGGGACACATGGGGATGCCATAGGGACACATGGGGATGCCATAGGGACACATGAGGACTCCATAGAGACACATGGGGACTCCATAGGAACACATAGGGATGCCATAGGATCGCATGGGGACTCCATAGGGACACATGGGGACTCTGTCGGGACACATGGGGATGCCATAGGGACACATGGGGATGCCACAGGGACACATGGGACTCCATAGTGACACATGAGGATGCCATAGGGACACATGGGGATGCCATAGGGACACATGGGGACTCCATAAGGACGCATGGGTATTCCATGGGGACGCATTGGGACTCTGTAGGAACACATGGGGATGCCATAGGGACACAGTGGGACTCCGTAGGGACACATGGGGATGCCGTATGGATACATGAGGATCCCATAGGGACACATGGGGACTCCGTAGGGACACATGGTGACTCCATTGGGAGACATGGAGACTCTGTAGGGACACATGGGAATGCTGTAGGGACACATGGGGATGCTGTAGGGACACAAGGGGACTCCATAGGGACAGATGGGGACGCCGTACGGACACATGGGGAGGCCATAGGGACACATAGGGACTCCATAGGGACACAAGGGGATGCCATAGGGACACATGAGGACTCCATAGAGACACATGGTGACTCCTTAGGGACACATGGGGATGCCATAGGGACACATGGGGGATGCCATAGGAACACATGGGGACGCCATAGGGACACATGGGGACTCCGTAGTGACACATGGGGACGCCATAGTGACACATGGGGACTCCATAGGGACACATGGGGACTCTGTAGGGACACATGGGGATGCCATAGGAACGCATGGGATTGCCATAGGGACACATGGGGATGCTGTAGGAACACATGAGGCCGCCATAAGGACACATGGGGACTCCATAGGGAAACATGGGATTGCCATAGGGACACATGGGGACTCCATAGGGAAACATGGGGACTCCCTAGGAACACATGGGGACGCCTCAGGGACACATGGGGACTCCATAGGGACACATGGGGATGCCGTATGGATACATGAGGATCCCATAGGGACACATGAGGACTCCGTAGAGACACATGGTGACTCCATTGGGAGACATGGGGATGACATAGGGACACATGGGGACTCCATAGGGACACATGAGGATGCCATAGGGACACATGGGGACGCCATAGGGACACATGAGGATGCCATAGGGACACATGGGGACGCCATAGGGACACATGGGGACTCTGTAGGGACACATGGGAATGCCATAGGGACACATGGGGATGCCATAGGGACACATGGGGACTCCATAGGGACAGATGGGGACGCCGTACGGACACATGGGGAGGCCATAGGGACACATAGGGACTCCATAGGGACACAAGGGGATGCCATAGGGACACATGGGGATGCCATAGGGACACATGAGGACTCCATAGAGACACATGGGGACTCCATAGGGACACATGGGGATGCCATAGGGACACATGGGGATGCCATAGGGACACATGAGGACTCCATAGAGACACATGGGGACTCCATAGGAACACATGGGGATGCCATAGGGACACATGGGGACACCGTAGGGACACATGTGGACTCTGTAGGGACATATGGGGACGCCATAGGGACACATGGGGATGCCATAGGGACACATGGGGAATCCATACGGACACAAGGGGATGCCATAGGGACAAATGGGAACTCCATAGGGACACATGGGGATGCCATAGGGACACATGGGGAATCTGTAGGGACACATGGGGACGCCGTACGGACACATGGGGAGACCATAGGGACACATGGGGATGCCATAGGGACACATGAGGACTCCATAGAGACACATGGTGACTCCTTAGGGACACATCAGGACGCCATAGGGACACATGGGGATGCCATAGGGACACATGGGGACTCTGTAGGGACACATGGGAATGCCATAGGGACACATGGGGATGCCATAGGGACACATGGGGATGCCATAAGGACACATGGGGACTCCATAAAGACACATGGGAATGCCATCGGGATGCATGGGGTCTCTGTAGGGTCACATGGGGACTCTGTAGGGACACATGAGGATGCCCTAGGGACACATGGGGACTCCTTAGGGACACATGGGGACTCTGCAGGGACACATGGGGACGCCTAAGGGACACATGGGGACGCCGTAGGGACACGTGGGGACGCCATAAGGACACATGGGGACTCCATAGGAAAACATGGGATTGCCATAGGGACTCATGGGGATCACAGAATCACAGAATCACAGAATTGTAGAGGTTGGTAGGGACCTCCAGAGCTCATCGAGTCTTACCCCCTGCCAAAGCAGGTTCCCTACAGCAGGTCGCACAGGTCGGCATCCAGGCAGGTTTTGAACATCTCCAGAGGAGACTCCACCACCTCCCTGGTGCCATAGGGCCACATAGGGACTCCATAGGGACACATGGGGATCCCATAGGGACACATGGGGATGCCAGAGGGACACATGGGGACTCCATAGGGACACATGGGGATCCCATAGGGACACATGGGGACTCCATAGGGACACAAGGGGACTCTGTAGGGACACATGGGTATGCCATAGGGACACATGGGGATGTTATAGGGACGCATGGGGACTAGATGGGGACACATGGGAATGCCATAGGGACACATGGGGATGTTATAGGGACGCATGGGGACTCCATAGGCACACGTGGGGACTACATAGGGACACATGGGGATGCCATACGACACATGGGGACTCCATAGGGACACATGAGGACGCCGTAGGGACACATGGGGATGCCATAAGGACAAATGGGGACTCCATAGGGAAACATGGGATTCCCATAGGGACACAAGGGGACTCCATAGGGACACATGGGGACTCCATAGGGACACATGGGGACGCCTCAGGGACACATGGGGAAGCCATAGGGACACATGGGAACTCCATAGGGACACATGGGGAAGCCATAGGGACACATGAGGATGCCATAGGGACACATAGGGACTCCATACGTACGCATGGGGACTCCATAGGGACACAGAGGGATGCCATAAGGATACATGGGGACTCCATAGGGACACATTGGGACTCCGTAGGGACACATGGGGATGCCATAGGGACACATGGGGATGCCATAGGGACACATGAGGACTCCATAGAGACACATGGGGACTCCATAGAGACACATGGGGACTCCATAGGAACACATAGGGATGCCATAGGATCGCATGGGGACTCTGTCGGGACACATGGGGATGCCATAGGGACACATGGGGATGCCACAGGGACACATGGGACTCCATAGTGACACATGAGGATGCCATAGGGACACATGGGGATGCCATAGGGACACATGGGGACTCCATAAGGACGCATGGGTATTCCATGGGGACGCATTGGGACTCTGTAGGAACACATGGGGATGCCATAGGGACACAGTGGGACTCCGTAGGGACACATGGTGACTCCATTGGGAGACATGGAGACTCTGTAGGGACACATGGGAATGCTGTAGGGACACATGGGGATGCTGTAGGGACACAAGGGGACTCCATAGGGACAGATGGGGACGCCGTACGGACACATGGGGAGGCCATAGGGACACATAGGGACTCCATAGGGACACAAGGGGATGCCATAGGGACACATGAGGACTCCATAGAGACACATGGTGACTCCTTAGGGACACATGGGGATGCCATAGGGACACATGGGGGATGCCATAGGAACACATGTGGATGCCATAGGGACACATGGGGACTCCGTAGTGACACATGGGGACTCTGTAGGGACACATGGGGATGCCATAGGAACACATGGGATTGCCATAGGGACACATGGGGATGCCACAGGGAAACATGGGATTGCCATAGTGACACATGGGGACTCCATAGGGACACATGGGGACTCTGTAGGGACACATGGGGATGCCATAGGAACACATGGGATTGCCATAGGGACACATGGGGATGCTGTAGGAACACATGAGGCCGCCATAAGGACACATGGGGACTCCATAGGGAAACATGGGATTGCCAAAGGGACACATGGGGACTCCATAGGGAAACATGGGGACTCCCTAGGAACACATGGGGACGCCTCAGGGACACATGGGGACTCCATAGGGACACATGGGGATGCCGTATGGATACATGAGGATCCCATAGGGACACATGAGGACTCCGTAGAGACACATGGTGACTCCATTGGGAGACATGGGGATGCCATAGGGACACATGGGGACGCCATAGGGACACATGGGGACGCCATAGGGACACATGAGGATGCCATAGGGACACATGGGGACGCCATAGGGACACATGGGGACTCTGTAGGGACACATGGGAATGCCATAGGGACACATGGGGATGCCACAGGGACACATGAGGACTCCATAGAGACACATGGGGACTCCATAGGGACACATGGGGATGACATAGGGACACATGGGAATGCCATAGGGACACATGGGGATGCCATAGGGACACATGAGGACTCCATAGAGACACATGGGGACTCCATAGGGACACATGGGGGATGCCATAGGAACACATGGGGAAGCGATAGGGACACATGAGGATGCCATTGGGACAAATAGGGACTCCATAGGGACGCATGGGGACTCTGTAGGGACACATGGGGATGCCATAGGGTACATGGGGACTCCACAGGGACAAATGGGGACTCCATAAGGACGCATGGGTATTCCATGGGGACGCATTGGGACTCTGTAGGAACACATGGGGATGCCATAGGGACACAGTGGGACTCCGTAGGGACACATGGGGATGCCGTATGGATACATGAGGATCCCATAGGGACACATGGGGACTCCGTAGGGACACATGGTGACTCCATTGGGAGACATGGGGACTCTGTAGGGACACATGAGAATGCTGTAGGGACACAAGGGGACTCCATAGGGACAGATGGGGACGTCGTACGGTCACATGGGGAGGCCATAGGGACACATAGGGACTCCATAGGGACACAAGGGGATGCCATAGTGTCACATGAGGATGCCATAGGGACACATGGGGACGCCATAGGGACACATGAGGATGTCATAGGGACAGATGAGGACGCCATAGGGACACATGGGGACTCTGTAGGGACACATGGGGATGCCATAAGGACACATGGGGACTCCATAGGGACACATGGGGACTCCCTAGGGACACATGGGGAATCCATACGGACACAAGGGGATGCCATAGGGACACATGGGGATCCCATAAGGACACATGGGGACTCCATAGGGACACATGGGGACTCCACAGGGACACATGGAGACTCCATAGGGAAACATGGGATGGCCATAGGGACACATGAGGATGCCCTAGGGACACATGGGGACTCCTTAGGGACACATGGGGACTCTGTAGGGACACATGGGTACGCCTCAGGGACACATGGGGACGCCGTAGGGACACATGGGGACGCCATAAGGACACATGGGGACTCCATAGGAAAACATGGGATTGCCATAGGGACTCATGGGGATCACAGAATCACAGAATCACAGAATTGTAGAGGTTGGTAGGGACCTCCAGAGCTCATCGAGTCCAACCCCCTGCCAAAGCAGGTTCCCTACAGCAGGTCGCACAGGTCGGCATCCAGGCAGGTTTTGAACATCTCCAGAGAAGGAGACTCCACCACCTCCCTGGTGCCATAGGGCCACATAGGAACTCCATAGGGACACATGGGGATCCCATAGGGACACTTGGGGATGCCAGAGGGACACATGGGGATGACATAGGGACACATGGGGACTCCATAGGGACACATGGGGATGACATAGGGACACATGGGGGATGCCATAGGAACACATGGGGATGCCATAAGGACACATGGGGATGCCATAGGGACACATGGGGACGCCATAAGGACACATGGGGACTCCATAGGGAAACATGGGATTGCCATAGGGACACATGGGGACTCCATAGAAACACATGGGAATGCCTTAGGGACACATGGGGACGCCATAGGGACACATGGGGATTCCATAGGGACACATGGGGACTCCATAGGGACACATGAGGATGCCACAGGGACACATGGGGATGCCATAGGATCGCATGGGGACTCCATCGGGACACATGGGGATGCCGTATGGATACATGAGGATCCCAGAGGGACACATAAGGACTCCGTAGAGACACATGGTGACTCCACTGGGAGACATGGGGATGACATAGGGACACATGGGTACTCCATAGGGACACATAGGGACTTCACAGGGACACATGGGGACTCCACAGGGACACATGGGGACTCCATAGGGACACATGAGGATGCCATAGGGACACATGGGGACGCCATAGGGACACATGGGGACTCTGTAGGGACACATGAGGACGCCATAGGGACACATGAGGACTCCATAGAGACACATGGTGACTCCTTAGGGACACATGAGGACGCCTTAGGGACACATGGGGACTCCATAGGGACACATGAGGATGCCATAGGGACACATAGGGACGCCATAGGGACACATGAGGATGTCATAGGGACACATGAGGACGCCATAGGGACACATGGGGACTCTGTAGGGACACATGGGAATGCCATAGGGACACATGGGGATGCCATAGGGACACATGGGGATGCCATAAGGACACATGGGGACTCCATGGGGACACATGGGGAAGCCATAGGGACACATGGGGACTCTGTAGGGACACATGGGGATTCCACCGGGACACATGGGGACTCCCTAGGGACACATGGGGAATCCATACGGACACAAGGGGATGCCATAGGGACACAAGGGGATGCCATAGGGACACATGGGGACTCCACAGGGACACATGGGGACTCCATAGGGAAACATGGGATGGCCATAGGGACACATGAGGATGCCCTAGGGACACATGGGGACGCCTCAGGGACACATGGGGACGCCGTAGG